TAATTCACATAGAATCAGTTCGAAATATTGAAATTATCCTACTACTTTTGTTTGATTGATGGATCAGAATTTCGAAAAAATATTCTCTTGGATGAAGCCTATTTGATTCAGGCATACCTGAAATGCCCCAAAGAGATACAAAGTTGCATTGTAGTAACTTCTACTGGAAGATCTCTCTGGGTCAACCAAAAATTAATGAAATTGGAGTTGAACAATGTTTTATTATGATCCATATTTTTTTCTCTGAAATTCAAGTTCATCATGTTTGGGGTTGAAGTGTGATGCCTTCTTAATACAATGGTTTTTTATTCACGTCGATAACCACTCTTCAAGAGAAAATACAAGTGTTTTAAGAAAGCATGGATTTGTTCTATTTTTATTTACAATAATTCAGAACCATTCTCCAACATTCTGCTTCATCATGTTTTGAATTGAAGTGTAATCCTTTTTCGTCCCTTCCCAACACAATGGTTCTTGACTCACACATCATCTTCTTTTTTAAAGGAAAATACAAGTGTTTTAAGAAAGTATGGAATTTTTTTATTTGTATCAACAATAATTCAGAACCCATAGAGCATCTTGGGGATGAACTACAGAGGCTCATTCGCCTTCGTTCGGCCATGTCAGATATTATTTATCAAGAGCTACGATTCGCCATTCAAGGAGAATTTTAGGAAATTCTTCATCAAGACTATACTCGAGAAATTTGATCAACTCGATGCCACAGCGGTTGCTGTAATTCAGACTCGAGGAATACTTGCCATTGAGTGCTAAGAGGTAGAAATAAATGGAGTCTTCAAGTTGTTATTCAATGATTTGATGTAGTTTCTGATTATTGTTAATAAAAATTGAAAAATGCCATATTTTTTCAAAACACTTGAATCTTCTCTTAAAAATAAGATATTGACGTGAATCAATAACTATTGTGCTGAGAAGGGATCACACTTCAATCCGAAGCATAATGAACCCAAATTCAACTACTCAATTTTGCCACAGGACGTTAAAAAATAAAGGGTGAAATAGTAAGTATTGTTTTTTCCTTGTATAATGATCAACTCATCAGCATTTCACGAAAGGTTAACATTCCGGAACATGACCCTACGATTTGATCAAAATTTCACAAAAATCGGACAAGGATCAAAAAAGTTACATAATGATTAGTCACATAATTTTGGTGGCCGCTTTTTTGCCGGTGATTGTAGTTAATAAAGGCAGAATTCATGAAACTCTTCTTTATGCATGATGATACCTCGTATTATTGTGTACCTTTATATTGTATATCGAAAATCAATTCTGAAAATACCTTCCATCAGGAAATGAGAAATTGTAATGAAGGTCATCTCATTATTTACCTACAGAAATCATTGATCCAATCCCGACCTTCACTTAATGCTCACATCATATTTATAGAGATGTAATTATATTGGTCGTGAAGAAAAATACTAGCATCTATCTCTAAGGACTTCCAATACCGAACACCGTATGCGCAATTTTTTGCCCTCATAATTACAGTAAGAAGACCTGAATGAGACGCGGTTATTATTCCAAGTCCATACCTTATCGACATGGAACTGCTTATGGGTAATGGTAAAAAGTAGAAGAAACGATGGCAGCTGAAAGAAGAAGAAGAAGACGAGTGCCCTTAGTGTTGGCCGGTAATAAAGCGAACGCCTTGCTACATATCGGCGTTAGACGTGACAATACGAGCAAAAACTCGTCAACGAACCAATCTATATTCCATTAATATTATAGAACATTATACGAGAATCGCAAGTTTATTTATTTCCCGATATCGCCTTTTAAAGCCGCATTTATCGTTGCGCTACATTCGCACCGGTATTCAGGCCGAAGTGGATTTGAATGAGAAAACGAATCTGGATTCGATTTCGATGCAGATCCGATGGCACTTGAAGGTGACCAAATGTCACCACTGAGTGGAGACACAGTTACATTTCATGATATTCAAGTCAATTTCCATCCTTCGTTCTGACTATGTGGGTATTATAAGTAGCATTTTTTGCCTGAGTATGTCGAAGACTGGATTTTGGCACTGCACTGTTTTACCTAAACATCAGCCAGCCGGCTTGTCAAGGCGTAAAGCGGCTTTCACAACCATACTTTTTACATTATTCCAGATTTTTTGGGATTTTCTCTCCTTGTTTCTATGAAATAAAAAAATGAATATTATTTCAATATACGCGTAGTGAGGACAAATCAGATGATTTACCCCAAAATGTCACTGCGTTTGAAGAATTTTCCTATTAGAGAGCTCAAAAGAAAAATTCACTAGCTTATCAGTGACAATTTGTATTGAAAAAGGTTTGAAGAAGGGAAATAAAGGTATATAGAAAAAATGTCAAATTTTCACTCAGTTTTGGACGTCTCGGGAACGAATCTGCTCCCGTTTTCAACTTATTTGAATAACAAATTCGTATATTTCGCGATAGAAAATAAGCTTACGCCACCTACCGGAGATCTTGAAAGTTGTCAAAGCGTCACATCATGAAAAAAAACGCTCAGAAGTGTTCCAGTTGTTGCCGTCAGGTGGAGCGACGTGTTATTTTCTATCGCGATTTGTCTCGATCCTTTTCAATTCTCAGTGACAATTGGTGACGTTGGCAATCAAATGAGCTACAAGATGTTTTCATTAATTAATCTCGAATTTGCCATTTTCATTCTCATATTTCAGTAGTCAATACCATGTTCTATCTATATCAACTGAACAAGAAGCAATACTATTGTTTCCGTTCGGAAGAATGCAAGCAGATTCCTTGATTTTTCTCTTCTGGTTGTTGTATTATTTTCCAATGATTTTAATATCATTCCACTGTGCCATATATGTTGTTCATCTTCAGTAAGGATATGTTCAGCTAGTTTCGATCTGTCGATGTGTCTTTTCTTTATATTGTACTTATGTTCTCTCTTACTTTCACCTGTATAAAACTTTCCATAAACACAAGGTATACTAAATACGAAGGAACATAATATTCAGACCACGATATTCAGACTGTTTGTCCAAACTTTTTTGATGTACTATATGGCAGTAGGTTGAGTATAGTACGTAACTCGTGTTGTTAAGCAATTACGCACTCATGAAATTAGCACTTTTCGGACGGTTGCCGAAAAATGATATTTGCTGGTTAACACCTTTAAATCTATGCCTTTAAATAATCACGATATGCCTTTGTTACGTATGAAACAGAATTATTGCGTTATGAACCTATACATTTACAAGCATGGTGAAACGTATTTGTGACATATTATACGTTACATTCACGTACACGTTGTTCCCCAGAGTATCAGTGTATGGATATCCAGTGGACATCCATGTATTGACTGGAAATTCTCTTAGAAGTTGTTAAGTCTATCGTAGGCCAAATATCCTGCAAATCAATATGCAAATGATGTTTGCATCCTGCTCCAACCTGGCAAGTATCTTTACCGGCCTCAGGCTATTTCCTGCATTCTAGCGTTTATTTATTGGCAAAAGAATAACATCAAATAAAAGTGGACGCTGTTAATATTCATCATTGGATTTTTATCCTTCTATATACCGGTCTCATTATGTACCACAATGCTGTTCCACTGGAACAATGCATCATTCGTATTCAGTAATCGTTCCTCAGAGAATAACATTATTGATGTATAATTATTACAAAATAGGAAAATAATCTGAGGTTATTTATGGGGGATATTAAGTCTGTATGTCAACGCCGGATGATATATGTCAGTTTAGGTAGAATAATAGACCTCGGATATTGTTTAAAATATGAGGTATCGGTATCAGAGAAACTTGTTTAGAACGCTGACCAAATAGTCGAAGTTATCAAAGGAGATGGTGAAGAAAAACTGGCAATAGAAATATGTAGAATTTGTATATTGCTCCTTCGAAGTTGAGAACCAATTTCCCAAAAGTTGAAACTATTGATATGCCATGATATTACAAGTAACATTCCAGCTTTTCTATAAATATTTCATTTCTTAATCATGAATCAAATAATAAATGAGAATGTAAAACATGACGTTTCTATTCCACCATACAAGCATCTTTCCTCGACTATTCTTCCAAAGATAACCATCTTTTATGTCTTAATGACAAATAAATCGCAAGCAGAAGCGATGGTTATAATTTCTGAATATTCAAGTAAATTGACCAAATGTGATTCAGAAAATATGTGAATGGATGAAGCTTATGTATTTGGAAATGATTCGTTCTATGTCACTGATATTTCCATATGTCATACTGTGTCATTGTCATAAGTCATTAGTCATTTATGTGAGGATGTCATGGTTCTGTGTCATAATTCAGTTTCTATGGTTTCATGATATTGCTGGTTCTTACTTTACACAGTGTATTTATTTATTATACTTCTCAACTTCTTGATGAATGAATGAATGATGATGTACTCATTCTGCTTTGAAAGTCTTGTTCTCCTGGACTTTCTCCAGATTCAAAATGATTATTATGATAACAGGACCGACTTTGGATTTTGATTTGCTGTTTTTTGTACTCTTCCTTGTTTGATAAATTTTTGTGTTCAATCTCTTCTAGGCCCCTTAATATAACTCCATCCTTCTTTGAATTCCTTCCTTCTTTGGGTTCCTTCCTTCTTTGGGTTCCTTCCTTCCTTGGTTTCCTTACTTTTACATAGAGTCCGGCCAAGTTAACTTTGGGTCAGCTCGTGGTCGTGTATGCATTGAATATGTATATGCGTTTTGCGTCACGTGGTGTCTTATGGTACGCGATGACCGTGACGCGAGTGTGCTGTCTTTCTCCCATCCCAGAAATTGCCTAACGGGCCTATGTCCACTAAGCAATGTTGAATGCTATGTTGATGCAATGTTGAAGCAATAACTGAAAAGGACGTTCAGCAATATTGCAAAAGTGAAGTAGTAGCGTTGCAGCATATTACATAGCTTTCAATTTTGCTTAGTGGGAAGGGGTTATCATTTCAATAATAATTTGCAGCAGATTGATACTGATTTGTTTTTCTTTACAGATCCAGCACTACATCTTGGTGGTCCAAGCTCAAGATGCTGGGCATCCAGCTCTATCCAGCACCCTCACAGTCTATTGCAACGTTCTGGATTTGAACGACAATGCTCCTTTGTTCGATCCCATGTCTTACAGCAACGAAATTTTCGAAAATGTCACTGTCGGGACGACAGTTGTGACTGTCAGTGCAACGGATTTAGATTCAGGTAAGGTACTATATGAGTAAGCATAGAAAATATTGAATTTATCCGCAAACGATTGATCATGAGAAAGTCTACAACTTCATAAAATCTGTCTACCATCTGATATTCCTCGGAATTTCACAATCAAGACCACTTATATTCAGTAGTAATATTATAAGTGAGTCGGATTGTTTGTTTGTAACAATATAAATTGGTTACTATGGAAATGGAAATAATTCTAAATTTCTGATTGGTGGAACTATTAATATACAGGGTGGCCCACGAGGTTTTGGCCAGTCGATATCTCGAAAACTATTTGAACTACAATTTTGAATTTTTGTGGTTTTGAACAATGGAATGCGGTGACCATTTTTGGTATTAGAGCGTTTTATTGCAACATCGCATTTCCAATCACGTGATATCAACGTCAAAATTTTAAATGGAACACCCTGTATATTATTGCATTTTTGTGAAGACCTTTCTAATGCAAATACTACGATACCATCATTGTCAGGGTTTTCATGTGAAACGGTGACAATATGAGCTGTCAAATAAATGGAAAATGGAAAATTTATTAAAGAACAACAGGAGTACCTATCTTAACTGTAGTGCCGAAAAACCGCTGACAATTATGGTATCGTAGAATTTGTATTAGAAAGGACTTCACGAGAATGCAATAATATACAAGGTGTTCCATTTGAAATTTTGAAGTTGATGTCACGTGATCAGAAATGCGATGTTGCAATAAAGCCCTCTTATATCAAAAATGAACACCACATTCCACTGTTTGAGACCACCAAATTTCAAAATTATAGTTCAAATAGTTTCCGAGATATCGACTGGCCAAAACCTCGTGGGCCACCCTGTATAAAAAAAACCTTCTTTACCCGAAAGTGTACCTAAGGTGCAAATACTTTTAGTTATAAATGAACTTTGCCAAGTTTTTCCTGTTTCGCGCTAATACTTTCGTCTTTCTCCAGCCCATATGATTTTTCGCCAAGTTGCCTGATACTTCGTCATTCCTAATTCTTCTGGGTCTGCCTCTCCTTCTTCTCTGTGTTGATTTCACTTCCCATATCTGTTTTGTTTGTCTTCCTTCCCCCATTCTCACCAAATGACCAAACCACCTCAGCTGTTGCCTTTTTATGGTTTCTGTTATGGGTTCTACCTCTAGTTCTTCTCTTATTCTGTCTCTTTTTGTTATAATTATTACTATTCTCCTCAGGAACTTCATTTCTATAGCTTGTATTATGCTTTTTTGCCTTTCTGTTAGGATCCAGCTTTCACATCCGTATGTCAATACTGGTTGGAAGATCGTCTTATAAACTGTAAGTTTTGTTTTCCTGGATAATTTATTCCTGATGAAGCTGTTGTTAAGTGAATGAAATAATCTTGTTGCATTTTCTATTCTGCTATTAATTTCTCCGTATGTTTTGCCATCTTTTCGTATCGGGACTCCTAAGTACTTCAATGTATTTGTCTGTTCTATATCTTCATTGTTCAATTTCATATTTGTTTGTCTTCCGCCTCTTCCTTTCACCATTATTTTGGTTCTGCTGTTGTTAATCTTCAGATTTCTTCGTTTAAGTGCTGCATACCACAATTCTTTGTTATGCTGCAAGTCACTTTCATTCCTTGCACATATCATGGGGTCATCTGCTTAGGCATATTCTGCCAAGTATACCGGATGCGAGCTCCTGTATCCTTCCTGAAGTTTCTTGCATTCGTCTTTCACTTCTTTTGTCACATCATCTTTAATTAAATTGAATAGTGTAGTGCTCAGCATGCTTTCTTGTCGCAACCCCCCTTTGTAACAAGTTCTTCTGATTCTAAGTTATTTGTTCTAACAATGTTTCTGGTTCTTTGATATATGCTCATTTTTCCTCAGTTGTTGAGTGACACCTCTTTTTTCCAAGCTCTTCCATATCAGTTTCCTTGGGGCACTGTCAAATGCTTTCGCTAGGTCTAGGAATGCTACGTTTATGTTGTTATAATTATTTTTCTCATTTATTTGTTTGATGGCAAAGATGTGATCCTGCGCTCCTCTTCCTTTTCTGAAACTTTTCTGGAACTTTTATGTTAGTCTTCTAGTTGACTTTCAGCTTTCAGTCACTCTTTTTAGTCTCTTATCTAGTATTTTCTCGTAAACTTTAGAGACCATGCTAAGTAATGGGATTCCTCTGTAGTTTTTACATTTCTTATTTCCCTTCTCATATCAAGGAAGAATTACTCATAGTTCCCAGTATCTGTGCAATGTTGATGTGGCTTTGTTGAGTAAAGTTGTAGTACTTCAACCCCGTTTCGTCCCAAGTTCAAAAGAATCTTTGTAGTGATTTCATCATGACCAGCTGCTTTGCATCTCTTCAATTCCTTTGGTGCTTCCTCTTCTTCTGCTATCTCAATATGCTCGTATTCATCGTCATCTAATTTTACCGTCATATCTTCAGCCTCTTCTCGCCACATTGAGCATTTCCAGAAAGTAATGTTCAGACTTGTCCATTATTTCTTTCCCTCCCACTAGTGTGTCACCTTCTTTGGATAATTTGTATTTGCATCTTTGTTGATTTTCCGTTCTCAATTTTTTCAGTATTTCATAGAAGAGTTTTTGGTTAACCTGGCTGTCCATCTCTATTGGTGGAACTACTCTATGTATATCCACGTATATTCAAAATTATACAAGGTAGCTCAGCTCAATGGGGAAGACCACTGAGGAAAGAAATCCGTACAAACCTCTTTCAATCCACGAATCATGATTTACATTTTATGTACAATCAATATTATGAGTTGAAGTTGAAGGGAATCGAATCTATATTGTTTTGAAATCAGAATATTTCATTCGGTATTTGAAACAGCCAAATATTTTGGTGGAGTCGTGACGTATTAGTCCCGAACTGTAGCTATCTCTCTCTGATACCTTGTCATTCTGCAGTGTTGCAGTGTAATTGGTCAGTTCAAGGACAATAGGCGTGTTGGAACTAAGACGTCGCCCCAGTCACACCAATGAATTGATGAAATTTAAAATGGCGCAGGAATTGTGTGTTTTGAAATGGACATATACTAATTTATTTTTTTCATCGTCTTAGCATGAATGAAAAAATTCAAAATTAATTCACTGGTAGTTTTTCACTATAGAGTTCACGATAATGTCGTTTTGAAAAATCAGTGGTCTTCCTTATTGGACATTCTGATTGGTTTGAAGTCATATGCAGAAAATAATCTTCAGGATCTTACTTTCAACTCCCCGTAACCCCGTACCATCTTTCTCAAGGAACCATTAGTGTGGAGATCAAGAATGTGAGGAAAATCAGTCCTCTAGCGTGGAAAACTGTTCGCGAAATGGAAATTGAACGCCGAACTGGACAAAACAAAGACCTGTCAGCGTTTTTCGCGCGAATCACGTTTTACGAGCTTGCATTTGAGGCGATACAGTTCGCGTTGGAAATCGATTTTTTTTATGGTACGAAACGCATTACGAACCAACAGAAATTATTATGAATCGCAATTATTAATATTAGTCTCAGTGTGAAGTCGACAGAAATGGAGTGTTTTTATGTCTAAAGGAAATTCTCGGAATTGGATGGTCGGTTCGAGCACTCTGTGGTCTAGAACAAAATACGGTGGTGTCGTAAAAGAACAATTCAGGAACTGGGGCTCATGAAATTAATGGGTTATTTTTAATTTTTTTATGAACACATAATAATTGAAGGTAGCCCTTTCAATTGTTGTCTCTATCATATACAACTACATTATACAGCATCATTATCAAAAATGGAAGTATTTTCCCATATCTGATTTGAAAATAAGTTCTCACAATCTTTTGATCGACTACCAGAATATGAAGGCATGTCTTTCTGCATTCAAGTAAATGAGTGTTTCTGTTTGAAAACCTTGCAAATAGGAAAATTTATGTTATCAGGGATTTTCGAATGGCAAAATCTTTTTCAAATAGAAAGATAATGAGCCACACTTCAGGTTCCCTCTCTATATATTATTACGTTATTCGGGTGTAGAAGCGAACACGACACTATTTATTTTCGAACTGATTTATTTGAACTAAAGGAACACTAATTTATATCGGAATTATAACTACTATTTATGTAAAACGATTTATATCAAGCGGTATATAACTGTCTCCCTGACACCCGCTGCTTAACTGTTCCGTGATCCGTGATCTTCTCCTGTTGAGCCACCATCTGGTCCGCAATGTCCTGTCGCTGAGCCGCAATCTGATCCGTGATCTTCTCCTGCTGAGCCACCATCTGGTCCGTAATGTCCTGTCGCTGAGCCGCTATGTCCTGTCGCTGAGCTGCTATCTGTTCCGAGATCCCAGCCAACATCGCGATTCCGCTGAAGCTGGTTCCTCGAAGGTGAACGTCTCTGGATATTGACCTGCACTCACCATATACTCTTTGAGACGATGCTGAAGTGTAGCCTTGATCCCTGTTGTGTCAAGATCTCTCTCCTCCAACTCGCGTTTCAAGTCCACCACTTTCAACTCATGTAGTTTCTTCAATGAAAGAACTTCTAGAACAAAAAGAAGGAGACGGAAGATCATTCGAGAACGTTCTCGAACCAAAGCCTACCAATGGATCTCATATATTATATAAACGGCCGGACAACTGCCGTCAGTCAGTTAAGCAGCGAGTGTCAGGGAGACAGTTATATACCGCGTGATATATTGAGTGTTCGGAAATATGCTGGTGCATGTAGGAATCATTGGGAGGTTAGAGAACGATCTGGGATGCGTGTTACAGGACGATTGTTGTACTCCTGCCTTCCTGCTGATGTTTCTAGAGCCCCTTTAAGGGGGATATCATTACAATATCAACTATTAATGGTGCGATTTTCACCAAATTTGAACCGGTATGAATAACCATCAATATGATCAGTTTTTCGGAGACGAACAATATTTTGGACAGTGCCGTGCGTTTTTATCAACACGAAAAGGGGAAAGGAAAACTGACTTCATAATATTGTTCCTCATCGTTTTAAACTCCCATGTGTGAATTTTCAATCAATTTCAA